GGCGCTGGCGTTGAGATTCGTCCGGCTGAAGTAATCCCTACAGGGCCCTTCTTCAGTAATCTCTGGTAATCTACGAAAACTCTTCACTGTCATTTCTAAAAGCTAAACGAATCGCTCCCGGTCACGTGACGGCTGACAGCCCAGCAGTGCGTCTCGGCCCACAGTGCGGACTGGCCAGCGCGCAGGCCGTACCTGTCACCATGGCGGCGATCGTCAGCATTTCGTCCACACAGTCAAACTCACAGGACGCTAAGATGGACTTTGAGAGCTGTGGGTCGAGAGGAAACTCCGACATGATGATCCCAAGTTCAGAGAGATTCCCGTCGTTGTCCAGCGCGGCCAGGTAGTCCAAGTCTTCCAGAGCCTGCATCAGGCTTTCTGGGGCTGCGGCGGGCCGAGACAAGGTAGGAAAGATGGTCAGAAGGTCTCCGCCCAGAGGGAGAAGCAGGTCCTTGAGGTTCCCTCCTGCACAAAACCTCAAACACTGGGCCCGACGCGAGGGACAGTGATCCCCGGGGTCTCGCCTGGCCGCTCCCTCAGCCACCCCACTGCTCCTCCAGGACTTGAAAGAAGTAACTGATCTTTCAGTGTTTTGGGGGGCATTTCTAGAAAAGCACCCAAACTTCTCAGGGCAGGACTGAGCCTGGTGAGGAACACGGCCCTCCTGCTGGGCCCGGGGGACAGGCACGGCATTCTGGCAGGAGGGGTGTCCACTCTGCATGGCTCCCAGATGGTGGTGAGCTGTTCCCACAGCCTCCCGCCCTTCCCATCTCACTCAGGGGCAGCTCCGTCACTTGGAACAGGGCCTACTCCACGCTCTGCTGGCCACTTTAAGTTTGACCTAGATGGCAAAGGCACGGCCTTGGACTGGCTCTCCCAGGGCAGTCCGACTGACCACTGAGGTGGCCAGGCCGTGCCTCACCTGCAGACAGCGACGGCCCACAGTTCTCTCTGCACTGGTCACTGGGGCTCCCCTCCACACCCCTCACTTCTGCTCGCCTGGCCGGTCGCCCGCGTCGGCCAGTGGCAGACGGTCCACCAGGTGAGAGCCCGTGGCACTGGGGTGTTCTATCAGCACCCCCAGAGTGTGCTTCCCTCAGAAGGAGAGGGCTCGCGACAAGGCCGCCCCCGCCCGGCCACCCGGCTACCTGGTCTGTTCATGAAGTCGCAGTGGCCGAGCCCCGCGATGTCGATCCTCTTCATGAACAGCACCATGCTGGTGAGGTTGGCTTCCTGCATCTCTGCCGGCTTCAGGGGCTGCATGACTTTGGACGCAAATTCCTCAGAATACATGCGGAAGAGTTTTCCTGAAAAGACAAGGGACAGTCTCCAGGCCCCTGCGTGGCCTTCGCCCCGCGAGCACAGGCCAGTCTCGAGTCCGCGCCGCTACCTGAACCCCAGGCGCCGACAATCTGCTTGCGGGTCTCCGCCTGGCTCTGGCTGATGGGCTGCAGCACCAGGGAGTTGGCTCTGATCCGCGGGTTGTACACCTGCAGGGGGCGCGGCCGGTCAGCGTCGCCGCAGCGCAGGACGCCCAGCGGGGTGACCGTCTGCACCTGGGGACGCGCTCGTTTTCTTTGCAGAAGACGGTTCTCCCGCCCGGAGGTAGGACGGTCGGGCTGTGCTAAGGGGCCCCGGTCTGCGTTCGGTGACCACGGGCCTCAGCGTCACCTGCCGAAACCCAGCTGGCCCGAGGGTGCCGAGAATGACCGCGGCTCCGGATCTGGCCCACCTGCGCCCCAGAGGCCTCCACCCTCCAGTCAGCTTGCCCCGCCCTCCACGCACAAGAGCTGCACCGTGGCTGAGGCGCTTCCCTGCGGGCACCTGCCCCGGGCGCGCTGACTCGGCCAGACCAGCCCTCGTCCCTTGCGAGGGGCCCTGCGCGGCGACCGGGCTGGCGCGTCACTGTAAGACGACACGAGGTCCTGACAGCCTTCGAGGCCAGGATTTCTTATTTAAAGTGAGTGGTAAAAAACATTTATACACATGTATATCCTTACACTTCAGGGTCAACCCTCAAGGATCTGTGGACATTTCAGTCAGTGTAGGCGAAGCTGGAGAAGATGCTAACTAAGTGCCCCGATCGCAGGGTGCGGTGACGTGCCCTCGGGGGTGGGGCAACGTGTGGACGAGGTGCCCTGCGCCCTTGTCTCGGCCACCCAGCAGGTGTGCCTTGGCACCCGCCACCCCCAGACAGCAGAGTGTCTGCTGTGCGCCCCTGGCCGTCCGTCTCCCGCGCACCCAGGACCGCAGGGGGAGCCCACCCCGTCTCCCTCCCTGGCCAGTAAAATGGGCGGAACTCAAGGAACCGACGGGGAGAAGCGGCGGTCACCTTTCTCCTCTCCATGCCCACGTCGATGACGAATCTGACGGTCTTGCTGCAGATGAGTGCCTCCCCGGAGCTGGCCGTCACCACCACCTTGCGCGGGGAGGCCTGCCACCGCGTCTCCGCGTCGTCCTGGGGCTTGAACAGGGCGCACCTCTCTCTGGGGTACAGGGGGATCACCGCCAGCTCCCCGGCATCCGGGTTTATGTTGGCGCCCTCCTGACAGACCTCCTGATAGGCCTTCTCGATGTCCTGAGCGGAGAAGAAACAGCCCATCCCAGAGATGATGTCACTGCTGGAAGCAGGGTCCGGCCAGCGCCTTCGCTCGCCTTCACGTGTGTGTGTGGGGGGGGGGCACCGGCCTGAGGTCGAGGGGTGACGGACGAGGTCAATACGGTTTTAAGCGACATCGCCACTTCGGGCCGTGGCTGCCTCTGGGCGCCGCGCTGCGTCCCTGCCGGAGACGGCGAGACGGAGCCTCGCGACTCGGCCCGCTGCTGTCACCGCTGTGCCTCTGGACAGTGGGGGCCCCCAGCCCTGCAGCAGTCCTCGGGCCGTCCCACCAAGACCCGGTGCCAGGGTGGGCAGGAAAGGCGGGCGCCGGGCGAGCCGGCTCCCCTCGCCAGCAGGACGCGGTCAACCGCGCCACAGCGCCACTGGCGACAGCTGAGGAGAAGCGAGTGGGAATGGATGAGAAGGCCCCAGCCCCCCGTTCTGTTAGCCGAAACCCCCCACTGGCTTTTCAAAACCCTACTGGAGCCTCCTGCTGAGTCCCGGGCAACAGCCGCTCGCGCACCTCTCCGACTGTCGGGCACTTCTCTTCCGGAAGCTGCGTGTCCCCGTGCAGCGGGGCGTCAGGCGGGCGGGGCGTCTCCCTCGGCCCCTGCTGCCGCGCCTCGACCGGTGGCCCCGAGACTGTCTAGGTGTTCCCTTTCTGCCGCCTCCTTCAGCTTTATCACCTTCCCCGGGCCCACCCCGAGGCTTTGGATCGTGCGGGGTCAGGGAACGTCATGGCAACGTCGACAGGCAGAGGATTCACTCTTCAAGAACATGTGTGCGAGCTACTCGTGCGACCCTGTCAGGCGCGCCGCAGCCATGGAGTTGGGGCTCTCAACTGCTTCCTTCAGGGCAGTGGGCACAACCCACGCGGGAAACCGTCAAAGCTGCGGCCGGAGGCCTCACCCTGCACACTGCACGCAGCAGACTCGCTGTCGGGGGCAGCCGAGGCCCACGGCCGGGGCCCGTCGCCAGCCCACACTGCTGTCATCTCAAGAATCACAACACACTTGGATCAAGGTCTACAAGCCAGTACGGCACCCTGGGTGACATGACACGCACCAAAGCCCCGGGAAGCCACAGCTCTGGGAGGGAAAGTCGGGTTCCTCCGACACCGGAGGGGCGCGGGCTCGGCCGGACCGGGGGTAAGTGGGGTCCCTGCACGCCGCGAGGCCCGGCCAGGGGCGGCCAGCTCTGCAGCAGGGAGGCCCTCCAGCACGCAAGCGAAGACGCCCCACACATCCCTTGTAGGAGCCCAGGAGGGGGAGCCGGGGAGGGTGCGGGGGAGGCGGGGGGCCCTTGTGTCACGACGCTCCTCTCCCGGGAGGCTGGGGGAGGAGGGCTGGGGGCACGACCCCTAGCCCGCCCGGCAGCTGTGGCCTGCTCCCCGGAAGGAGGCCAGCCGGAAGATGGCCGCTGCGCCCTCGGCCCCTGCTCGGTGGTCAGAGCCGCGTGCACCCGCGGAAACTTCCTCCTCGCTGTCCTTGCCGCACAGGTTTTATCCCCCCAGCTGTGTGTCATCTAAGGCGTCAAAAAAGCCCCGAGCTGTGACAGATTAGGTGTAAACAGCGCTGCAGCAAAGCGGAGGGCTACAGAGCCGGCGAGCGGCCTCCCGGGGCCACCTCGGGGTTACTTACTTACTTGTTCGCCGGCCATAAAGATGACGATGTCGCCTGGCTCCCCCGAGTGGTGGATTTCCAGGACGAGGCGCGAAAGGGACTCCAGGGGCCACTGCTGGGCCCCGCTGAAGTGCACCACCTCCACGGGGCGCCCGTGCCGCACCTCGACCAGCGGCACGTGCCCATAGTACGCGCCGAGCCCGCCGGCCAGGTGCGGGCAGGCGTTGATGACCAGCTTCAGCTCCGGCCGCGCGAGCAGCACGCCCTTGAGGAGCCCCAGCAGCACGTCAGTGGCCACGCTGCGCTCCTGCACGTCGTCCAGGACGACCACCCCGTAGCTGCCCAGGAAGGGGCTGGACATCATCTCCCTCTGCAGCATGTCGTCCGTGCAGTACCTGCGGGGAGCGGCGCCCAGTCAGCGCGCGGGAACCCGGCCGGGTTCCTTCACGCCACCGAGGGACACTGACCGAGGCGTGGGCTGCATCCACGTGGCTGACAAGCCCCTGTCGTGACCACGCAGGGAAGTGCCCAACAGGCCGCGCCACGGGCGGGCAGCGCCAGCAGAGGGAGGGCCGGCGCCAGCGGCGTTTCCCGCCAGTTCCCAGAGTCCTTTCCTCGCGTGCTCCCGCTCCCGCAAACACCTGGCACTCACTGCTCTGACCCTGGAGGCGCCTAGCGAGGCTCCCCCAGCCGGGGACTGGCGGTGTCTGCAGCGCCCGTGGCCGGCGCCGGGAGCCGCCCCCGCGGGCGGGTCCTGCCCTGGGACTGGCTCCGCACCCACGCACGCAGTGGGCTGCCGCCTTCCGCCCGGAGCTTCGGAACCGGCAGTGGAGGGCACGCGGCCCGCCTGCAGCGCACACCAGCCGCCCGGCAGCACCGCGCTCCACGGCGGGGCTCGGCCCCCGACACCGCCCTCCTGGGCTCCGCTGACCTCACCCGGCCGCGTGTCTCTGCCGAAGCGGCTTTGCCTCCTGCCGCGCTAAACCTGCGCGGTGAGCCGGCCTGCCCGGAGGTGCTTGGGCCCGACTCAGTCTTCAGGTAAGTGCTTCCCGCGGGCGAGGGAGCCCTGGCGTGCGCCTGCAGACACGCCTGGCTCCCCGAGGTGGGGGGACTCAGCGGCGTGGCGAGCGAGGACGGCCTCCGGCTGCTTACGTAACCGCCAGGCCACCGAGGCGCAGCCTCAGGACGGCCGTCAGGCCCTCGCTCCCGAACGGAACACCTGGCCGCGGCCTTCACGCGAGAAGCCCAGCGCACGGAGTATCTACAGGTGCTCCCAAGCAGAGCTGCGCGGCCGAGGCTAAGGCCGCAGTTCGTGCTTTAAATTCCTAAAGCTAAATTTGTGGGAAACTGAGATACAGAAACGCATAACTTTTCCTAAACTTACACCATCACATCTGAGCAATTCTTGTAAGTGTGCATGCCAGAGGGTCAGGCCTGAAACTCTGAGCCGGGGCTTCAAGTCACCCAGCGCTGGCCGGCAAGACCGTGAGCTCGCCCGGTCAGCTGCCCGTTGGCCTCGAGAAACGGCCCACGGCACGGATGTCAGGCTCACGAGCGCTGTGGTGCCACACCTGCAGGCTGGGCGCCAGGCCCTCCAGCGAGCACGGGGACGAGCGTCGCCGTTCACGGCACGCGGCCCGAAATGCTTTCAGTTTCAGTCGGTGCTCACCAGACGCAGCCTGGCGCCCAGCACCCCAGCAGGTCTCGCCAGCCCATGAGGACCCAGGGGCAGGGGACGTGCCCACGTACCCTCCGTCCTCCCCGGAGCAGCCACGTGTGCCACACCGAGCGTGGGGTGCAGACGCACTGCCTCCAGGTCCCCGATGGGCTGTGCGTGGCTGCCAGTGCAAACGCTGAGGCCCTGGGGCAGGTGGCGCAGGCCACGCCCTCTGGGTGGGGTGCACCTGCCCTAAGCCTGTGCCGGTAGGGGCCTCGAGGCAGACCTGCTCAGGGGCCTGGCCGGGCTGCTGCTCTTGTTCTGTGCCCTCCTCGGCGTTCAACGCTGGGAACCCTTTGTGCGAGGCAAGTTTACCAAAACGCTACCATCAAGGGGATGTTCTGTTCCCACAACTGGGTCCCCACTGAGGAGGCGCTGGCACCAGGAGGCTCAGGCAGGACAGTCTGCAAACAGCGAGGGGCGCCAGGCCGACGAAGTGGCCGAGGGCCGACTGGCCCCGACACAAGGCGGGGCGTGGGCGTTTGAGAAGCCCGAGCCAGCGGGTCTCTGGGGGCCATAACAGACAGGTCATAACTTCTAGGGCCTCTGGGGCACGCTGACGAAGTCTGGGCACGGAGCCCCAGGGGCCGGGGGGCACCACTGCTGCAAAGCAGGCGGTGACAGACAGCTGTTGTTTCAGCAAAGGTGCTTAAAGCGTAGACGGCAAGAGAGAGGCTCCTGTAGGGCCAGAGGGGAGCAGCAGGCATCGGGGAGCGGCGGAACCCCCAAACCAACCTCAGGATGGTCTCGCTGGTACAGCAGTTCTCAAAGGGGATCACGTAGCCAACTTCATGGCCAATGTTAACATCCATCTCATCTGCGACCCGCAGGGCGAGCTGGACGGCGGTCTGCGTGTGGACCTGCGTGCACACCACGCCCCCGTGCTGGTAGCGGACGGACAGGCAGTACTCGGCGCACCACTGGGGCACCTGGGGAGAGAGAGACGGGGGTCAGCGTGGGCCGGTCTCGGCCGAGGGCCCCCGCGCCTGCGACCCGGGGCCGCGTGAGCGCTCGGCGAGCCCGCGTGAGCAGGCGGGGAGGAGGCCGCTCCAGGAGAGGGAAGGCGGCACGGGAGTTAGCAGGGGCCGGCGGGCTCCAGGCAAACGGGCAGGCAAGCGGGAAACCTAAAGAAAGCGGAAACTTGACCGTGTTTCTGGAAAGACTACTGTCTTTAGAGGCTCCGGTGTTCTGGTTTCCAGAAAGCGCCAGCACAAAGCAGTTTCTGCGGTCAACCCTGTGAGGCCAGCAGCGCACGCACCTCGTGGCACGTGGGTGACAACGGCGGCTCGCAGACACTGAGGTGTCCGGGTCAGCCCGCAGCCCCGCTGGGCACCTACACTCGGTGCCCAGTCAGGCCCGAGAACCAGCAGCGGGAGAGTCGACTCCACACATTTACTTCAAAATGATTCTGCCGAAAAGGTACTGTGGAGTGACTGACTGTTACCACGTTCACTCGTGCAGCAATTACCGGCGCCGAGGTCCTGAGTTCACTCGCATACTGCAACCTCCAGGCCCGGCAGGAGACTCTTGTGTTTTTTAAATCCTTCCACGAGTATCATTTTAAAGCATCTAAGCGTTTAGAAGGCTTTTATGCCCCTCCCGAGCACAGGACCGAGCTTCCCGCGTCCGGCCGGTGCGCGCAGACCTCACCCAGGGTCAAGCAGCCCAGAAGCCGGAAGGCACCCTGAGGACCACCCCGCGCCCGAAGTGTCCAGCCCTCCGCGGCAGGGCGCCCGCACCCAGGACTGTCCGGTGTCAGGACGGAGAGCGCCCCGAGGCTGGAGGCAGGTCCCCGCACGCGCCCCGGGTGAGCACAGGTGGGTGCTAGCCCAGCGACCCGGGCTGCTCGTGACTCGGCGACACCGCGGACGTGAGGGACATGCCCAGGCGCAGGCTGCACGCGCCGTCCCTGCTGCCCCGCCGGACAGGGACCTTGTGAAAAATGGTGCTTCCAAGCCTGGACGAGGAACTGGGCTGGGCGGAGCCCCCGAGGGCAGAGCGCAGCTGCGCCCAGGGGCGAGGCCCGTCGGGGATGCAGGCCACTGCGGGCCATGAGGGGTGGGGAGCGTGCGACAGGAATCCACGAGTCCTCGGATGACGAAGGGGACGAGGAAGCTCAGCCTTCTGGGGGGCCGCGCGGGCTGCGCGCAGGAGCGCAGGGTTCGTCCGTCCCCTGGCGCAGTGACATGTGGTGAGGAGCCCCCAGAGGATCCGAGCGGAGAGCCAGCCGTGTGGCCCGAGCGTCCGTGGCCGTGCAGTGGCTGGACAGCGACTGCAGCAGAGCACAGGAGCGCCGCCTCGGCCCATCACCCGTCACGGAGAAACCGCCCCCCGCCGGCCGCGGACGAGGTCACGGTCACCGAGGACAAGGAACCGGAGGGCCGAGCCCATGGAAGGTGCCCAAAGAGAAACGACCGTGAAACGTGACATCGGTTTCGGCTGGGTCTGGACTAGCAACAATTCTCGTTACCACAAAGGCCGTCGGTGGCCAGTCAGTGAAACCTGAACCTGCCACTGAGCTGTGGCTGTCACCACGCACGCCGGCCCCTGGCCACCAGCTGTGTCGTCCTCCTACACGTGCACAACGGTGCCTGGGGGCAGCTGCCATGGCGTCCTCAGCCTCCTCTCGGAAGGTGTGAGAGGGAGACGGTGTGCGCAGACAGAGAACGGCCCCGCAGAGTGAGGAGGCCCCAGTGTTAGGGAATGTGGGTGACAGACTGCAAATGCTCGTACTTTCTTTGCGACTTTCTTGTAAACCTGGAATTACTGCAACACAAAAATAATACTTTTTAAATTTGCCATTTGTTCATGGAAATTATACTCATTTGCTTCTTGTGACAAACTGAAGGCTTTTGTTAGCAAGTCACAATAAGCCCTTACTCGCTGCACAGTGAAAAACGCCCTCCTGTTCAGCCCCTTTTCTCAAGCTACATTTAAACAAGTGTGCTCAGAGGCGGAAACAACTCGGGGGGCAGTGCAGAGGGGGGGCCCTGTCGCTCCAGCTCAGTGATGCGGCACTGGAAAGACAAGTCACCCCCGTTTTCCTCATCTGAAAAAGGAATGGGCTTGGTACCTCGCCCATGCAGCCTATTCTAATTCTTCCATCGTAAGAATCCATAAATGAATCTCATAGTAAAAGTGCTTTACAATTTAAGCAAGGTACAGAGCTCCCTGAAAGCACAAAACCTGTAAGCATTCGTGGCTGCCCTCGTCTTTCCCTCACAGAAGGCCCCGGGACGGTGGCCGGCCCAGCCTGCTTGCGCAGTCGGCTCTCTCCAAGTCAGGACACCGCGGACCCCGTGCTTTTCACTCCCGCGTCCCGGGAGTCCGCGCCGGCCCGCGGCGGGCGGGCCAGTGCGCACCTGCCGTCTCTCCCGCTGAACAGACGCATCGAGACCGTGTGTTTGTTACTGACTATCCCGGGAGAGTTTAGCGGCGCAGGAAGCACAATGAATACCCCATGGGTGTCACTAACTGGGGCTGTGCTGGCCTGAGTAAACGAGGTGGCGGGACTGTCGGATCTGAGCTGCTGACGCTCCAGGGTTGGGTCTGGCTCAGATACCGTCGCTATTCAGACAGAGGCTGCCGGCAACACGCAACTACGTGGGGAACACCAGAGAAGCCCGGAGCGGAGGCGGAAGCAGGACTGGCCGGGGGCCACTGGCCTGGGGCCACTCACCTGGGAGCTCTTGCCGCACTTGGCGTCCCCCGAGATGAGGACCACTTGGTTTTGCAGCAGGTTCTCCATAAAGGAGTACTTCTCCTTCCAGATGGGCAGCTCTTCCCTCTCTTTCAGAAGCTTGTAGTAGCGCGAAGAGTACGGCAGCCCATCAAAGGGGTTGAGCTCCAGGTCCTCACAGGCCAGGCCGCCCTCCTCGTCCCCATCGCTGGAGTCCAGGGACTCGGGGAAGTAGCGCTTCTCGGGGGAAGCGTGAGAGCTTTCCAGCGCTGCCTCTTCCATCTTGTCGGGCAGCGAGCGGACGCATCTGCCACGGGCCGACCGGGTGTGTCCTCCGGAACCCCCACGGGGGCGTCACCGAGTCCCCTGCACCCGCTTGGAGGCCCAGAGTTCGGAAGCGTGGGGTGTCGGTGGGTACCCCTCCTCAAGCCTGCACCTGCGCCTCTCTGGCCCGCGGGCTCACCTGGCACCTCCCGGACGTTCAGTGACTCAGTTAGCCAGACTGAAAGAGACAAACAGGAAAATCAGGTACCCAGCCGAGATGCGAAAGCACACAGCCCAGGTGGTCAAACAGAAGCCAACTGTGTGTTGGCGCTGGCTGGCATCTCCCCTCTCTGCAGCCCGGGGTCACTCGGCGCTCCAAGCCGGGCTGCTGCCGTCTTCCCGGCCAGCCTGGAGAGTGCCTGCATCGGACCTGGCGCTCTGGCTGACCTCGGTGGACAGAAAGCAGCAGGGGACTAGCGGGCTGAGAGGTCAGCCAGTCAGGTGACCACCACCCCTACTTTAAGACACTGGGACCCCACAAAGGGGAAGGCCAGGAGGCTGGTGAGCGCACCCACCTTGGCTACACGGAGCCCACCTCTGCTGCCGAGGGGCCCTCGGTCAGAGGAGAACATTCCAGTCAAGCGAGAGGAGTGGATTTACTGTTTGCCCCTCGGAGGCCAGGCTAACCTTATTTGTTAACGAGACCTGAACTCTCACACTATTTCTGGAGACTCCTGGTCCTGAGCCCCGCGAGGCAGATTTACGAGGCCATAAAGAACATCTAATTCAAGGCACAAGAGAAGTCACCCGAGAAAGGGCCAGATTTACACCAGCGTCAGGTAAGAGGACCCTCCTCTCCCAACCGCTGGTCAGCCACTGGGGCTGGGAATAAGCCCCACTGAGCAGGTAAATTAAAAAAACAGGAAAACGCAAGCCAAAAAAAAAAAAGAACAAGTCATCAATTGCAGTTCACGATCTCTTGTCCCGTGAATTACTTTTTACTGTACCCCATTAAACGGCCCTACTGTCTGGGCTCCTCACCAGCCCTCGCGAGCAGCCTGAGACCGAGACCACTTGCGGGCGAGGGCCTCCGCCACAGGGGGCTGCCTGCGGGAGCAAGCCGGCAGGCGCGCTCCCCTGGGCATCTGGGCACCTGGGAATGAGTCCTGGCCGTGGACGGCTCCCACACGCGCCACAATCCTCCTGTGCAGGGAGCCAGGCGGCCGAGCTCGGCCTAACAGTGATGGCAGCAGCGATAATGAGCTAATTCCGCCAATTAGCCTCTACAGAGTGCTTATCACGCCCGGCTGCGGTGGGAAGTGCTCAAGCGCTTCATACGCGGGTTGTTTCACTCAAACTCCTAAGGACCCCAGGAGAGTTTACTTTATTATTTCAATTTTTCAAGTGAGGAAATGAAGCCTTCGGGGCTTCCGCTCGCCGGCGCGGCCCAGCCGGGGAACTGCGCGGGGCCGGGCCTCTGCCCAACCTGGCGAGAGCGCGGGCAGGTAGGGCCCGGCCGCCCTCGTCCCCGAACAGGCCTCAGACGCCGTCCCGCGGCTGAGGGGCGCCCGCCACTCTGAGGTGCCAGCCGGGCGTCCGAGTGCCAGGAGACAGCGTGTCGCTTTGCGGACGCGGGACTCTGGACAGTTCTGAAAGGCGCATTCAGCAGATGCTGCCGCCGGCCGCGGCTCCGCGTGCCCGTGCCCAGACCCAGGCCGTCCTCGTGTGAGGGCGCCACTCGGGTGGTCTTGGCCGTGTTCCCTTGGGGCTCCCAGACACATCCGATTCGGCTTCCAGCATTACATTACATCTGGTGCAAACAGGACAAAACTTCAGGACTTCTTGTGTTTAGATCACCAACGAGTTGGCATCGCTCTGACTTAAGGAGCCGGTCAAGCTAATTGGCCATCAAAAACCACTCAAAATGGTTCATTTTTAACTGAGTACCGGCAGGTACCAATTACAGCTAGGGTGACCCATCCTGCACATCAGTTTTTTAAAACAGCTAGGGTGACCCATCCTGCACATCAGTTTTTTAAAAGAAGCCCACCTTCTGGGACGATCTCAACTAAGCTGGCAGAGGCGGGACTCCCCGGGCTCAGCCAGCGCTGTTGGGAAAGGGCTCGGCTCTGGGCACAGGCGTCTCTGAGGCAGGGCTGGCTGCAGTGCCTGCCACGGGGCTGCCGGGCCCTTCAGTCACTCTGACTTCTTGGGCGGACTATTCCGTGCGGAGTTGCGGGTCTGCGGGCCGACTTCCCGCACCCGCCTCTGGGCGGCGTCACATGACCTGTTGCTCCCGAGGGGAACCATGCAGACCCAGGGACCAGGAAACTTTGGTGCAAGAGTACGGAGAACGGCACTGAGGTTAGGAAGACAAAGAGCTAAGTTGTCTGTGGCCGAGGCGGAAACCACTCCGGGGCCTCCGCTCTCTGCTTCCGGCCCCCACGGTCACCGTCTCAGCTCCTCAGTCTCTGGGGTTCCACCCCACCCCAGGGCAGAATGTCCATGCCCGGGCTTTTAACTGGACCCTCTTCTCTTTCCACACAATCTCCCCAGAAAAAAAAATCAGTTGTGTTCTAACTGCAGGCCCTGGAGGCCGGGTCCACCCCTCCTGCACACAGCCCCTTGCGGGAGTCCCAGACCGCCAGAAGACGGGGCCTCAGGAGTTAATAATGCTCAAAGCACTGGCCGTTTCTTACCACGAAAGAAAAAGGCTTCTTCCTGTGTGTCCCAGAATCCCACGGCGAGGGGGTGCGGAGCAACCCTTCACCTGGGCTCACCCCTGCTCCCCCTCCCCTCACCCCCACACCTGGCATTCTCAGCCAGGGCCCCTCCCTGCCCGCTGCTGCCTGTCTCAGTGGCCCTATCACGCCTTCCTGAATTACCACAAAATCTCTAATTTGGGTTTCTCTGCCTCTGACTGGGGGTCCCCACCCCACTCACAGGCTTCCTTCATCCCTTTTCAGATGCAAAACTGACGATATCACTGACCCAAATATTCCTCATTACGTGGACAAAACCCGCAGTCCTCCAGCTCTCCTGGCGTGGATGCTCTGCTCTGGCCTCTCCCGCCGCCTCCCACGCTCTTCCAACAAGTCAGCACTCTGCTCTGGCCACCCGGCCTCTGCCCCCCCCACGCACCCCTCGCCTGGCCCTCAGCCCTCTGCTCGCTCTTCCTTCCTTTATGAACCGGCCCCAGAAGCCAGAAGAACCTGGCCAGGAGCGAGTCCTCACCGAGCCTTCACCCCGAAGACGGCCTTTAGTCCCAGATGTGTGCTGCCCTGTCCCTGAGCACACCTGGGCCAGGACACAGCGTGTGGCCTCATCGCCCCTTGACCAGGAGGAGTGACAGCTCCTGACCTGCGGGGGCGGGCTGGCAAGGGGCTGCTCCCCGGGACCCAAGGCTTCCGCTCTCACTGTCCTCCCACGTCCACCACCAGGGCCGCTAGGCGCTGAGACCTAGCCAACCGGCAGATGCCGAGGTTACGGCAGCTCCTACAACGTCTGATCCAGCCAAGGGCACGTGAGCACACGACTGGGAGGAAACTGGAGACAGCAGAGGGCCAAGTGCCAGCGGCACAGCACCCCGACGGGGAGAGGTGCAGAGACCTCCAGACAGGTGACCACGACGGCCGTGGCGGCAGCCGCCCCCCTGGGGGCCTTGGCGGAGCCTGGTGCGGACGGTCCTTCGCCCCACTAGCTGCGGGCAGCCTGGCTGCCGGGGAGACCGCGGCATGGGGACCTGGGGTGAGCTCCTTGGGAATCCAGAGTGGCAGAGGTCAACAAACCCCAAATCCAAGATGAAAACGTTCTCGGACTTGCAACAATAAGGCTGGAAAAGAGAACGCGTTCACTTATTTTTAGCTCTGAAGTCTGAGGTGGCGGAGAGAGGGTGGCGGCGCCCCCCTCCCCTTTGCCAGCTGGCTGCTCCTTAGGGCCCCGGTTCCGCCCGTAGCTACGCATCACAAGTGAGCAAGAGGCGACTCTTGTCCAGGGACGGGCCTGGGAGACACCAGGTGTTGCTTGGCGCCGCCCAGTGAAGCTCGGCCCCTGTCCTGCAACTTTCTCCCTCATTCAACACACACTGAGCAGCTGCCTCACAGGGGTGCTGGCGGGAGGCTGGATGTTTCAGTGCCCCCCTTTCCCTCCACTTCCACTCCCAAACTGCCATTTCCCCCATATGCATGCCCCCCCCCCCCCCCCCCCCCAAAAAAAACCACAGGTTATTTTTCACAGTTGCCAAAGTCGTCCATCCCTAAGCCATTTCGCTGCAAGACGTGCTCAGGGACAGCCCCACGCCAGGCTGGGATGGTCACGACACGGACGCGCGTCCCAACCTACCCTCCATGTGCCAACCTCCCCTCCGCCAGATACGCGCCTTGGTCACACAGTGCAGACGGCCACAAGGCCACTTTCTCTTTAAACATGCGAATGCCTGTCTGGGGAACGGGCGCTATCTCCTTTTTGTTAATAAACACAGGTTTTATCACCAGAGCTCCAGAACACTGTGCTACAGAGGCCCTGCTGCCCGCGGGGGTCCCGTCTCCACGGGGAGACAAGTTTCAGGAGCAGGCAGCTAGGTCCCGCGCCCCCTCTCCCCCGCGTTCCTCGGTTTACTGTGCCAGCTATGAATCAGGCTCCGCATATACCAGAGGCTCGTCCACACCCACACACAAACCCTCCTGCTTCGACAACTCATCTGGAAAGGTTTCCGGCTACTCTGAGAGCGGGGCCTAGCTGGGTGGGGGGTGTCTAGGCGGTGTGGGGAGATTCTCCTGAGGGGACAGTCCTCCCGCGGGTGTCCTTGTCCTCTCCGGAGGAAAACTCCGGTGGCCAGGATGAGTCATCACTGACATGACCCCAAAGGGCTCTTCTTTTCAGTTCCCTCAAGCACTGTCTAGTCAGAGGGTCTGGAGGTCTCACCTCCAGACTGCAGACAACCCACGGACCCCCGCCCCCCCACTTCGCAAACTCATGCAGGGCTCTGTCCTCCATCTTTCTTTCCTCCTGAGCTTCACTTTTCTTCACCTCTGTCACCCTCGGCGCGGTCCGACTCCTACCACCCGCACGTGAGCTCCCCGGGGTCC